TGCCAGAGAGAAACAAAGAGACAGAGATAGCAAGAGGAGGGAGAGAGAGAAAGCACCTCTCAATGGGGCATGGTCACACCATGATCCCTTCTCCATTTCTCCATCCTGTCTGGGTTTGGGGCATGAATGCACACACACACTGAGAGTGTTTTTCAAATCAGCAGGGCCAGGATTCAAACCGTATTTGGCCATGTGGATTTCAGCTTTCTTACCCATTAGGCCATGGGGCCAACACAGAAAAGCCTGATTTGAACTCATTTTCAGAATTGCGTGATTATTTATTATATAGGCTATAATTCACTATCTTGTAAAATTAATATTTTTAATCAAGGTATTTACTATAATAAACATCCACTCTAAATTATTGGATAGCCTTGTATATAGTCTTTCATTCACAAAACTTGATCCATTAGCAGTATAGTATCACATTCTGTTGGGGGTTGAAAAGGACATAGTGATATTCAATGAATAAATTACATTAATAGATAATCATTTTCGATCAACAAGATAGATTATACAATACTAAAAATGAGAATTCCAAACTCATGAATAGGCCAACAATGGCAATGTTCACTTGAGTGATTTCCTTAACATAAATTAAGTTATAGTAAAACCTTAATAATGCAGCCCTACTGACTAAGTATTTGTGATTGTAATTATGTTAGCCTCTCTATTTGAGTTTATAGCATTAATTCACCATTCAATAAGATGGATATTTTGAATAACCTTCACAGCGGTGGTAACAGATTTATGTGCATACTGCAGGCAGAGCAAATCCAACTGAATTATGCAATCTCATCAGCACAGTGCGTCCATCAGGTGAGCATACCAGTCCTGGTAGAGTCTATTTTGATCATGAAAGTGTAAGGTAAGTGCTCTAACTCTGATGTCTTCAGTTTAAAATAATTTAAGTCACGCTTCATTTATCTGGGAATTTAAACTCTTGGCAAGCTCAGCTATTAGGAGCACAGCCATAAACCCAGAATAAAAAATATCACTGAGACATCCACTACTGGCAGTGTAGTAGATTAGATTTTCAGAGGCTTTCTTGCTTGAAAATAATAACTCCTGCATTATACGATTTTTATTGCATTTCTGGAGCCTTTGAAATGAGCAGAATTAAGTCTAAAGAGAAAACACAAGACAAAACAAGAAACGAATGTTGAAATGGCAATAAAGCCCAGTAAGCTAGTGTAAAAGGCAAGGTTGCCTTACAAGACATGTGGGTATGAGGGCTGCAATGTTTTGGTGAAGCCATGAGTCAGTGGCAAAGTCTAAGAGCTGAACCAGAGCCTCCTCAGAGGGTCAAGCTAAAGACTACTAAAGAATTGCATTTCTGGAGCCTTTGAAATGAGCAGAATTAAGTCTAAAGAGAAAACACAAGACAAAACAAGAAACGAATGTTGAAATGGCAATAAAGCCCAGTAAGCTAGTGTAAAAGGCAAGGTTGCCTTACAAGACATGTGGGTATGAGGGCTGCAATGTTTTGGTGAAGCCATGAGTCAGTGGCAAAGTCTAAGAGCTGAACCAGAGCCTCCTCAGAGGGTCAAGCTAAAGACTACTAAAGATAGTTCTCCCTAGCACCATACATACGAAACAAACTCTGTAAAAAAGATTCTTAATTTAGAGCTCTGGATTTTACCCAGATTAATATGAACCACATTTGAACTTACTATCAAAGATTAACCAAACACAAATAGGTGAAAGTCAGCAAAAACAAAAGTAAATACATTTAGGACCCCAAGCACTTGAAATATTGAAATAATTAGTTGTGGAATATAAATTTTTAAATAAACAAACATGTGAAGCAACAAAAAATAATGGGTAAGAAATCATCAAAAGATCCAAAGAAAATTTTTAGAAATGACTATTATATTTCTAGAGTTTAAAAAATTAATGAATAAGCTAAGCAGTCACTAAGACATTGTTGACATAAGAAGTTATAAATTGGAATAGTAAGTGAAGAAATTATACAGAGAGTAGGATAACTAAACTTGGAATGAAAAAAATTAGAGATTTGGAGAAAAACATGAACATTTCAACATAAAGCTAACTAGACTCACCAAAGAAAAGAAGGATGAAAGTGAAGAAGAGAAATTATCTGAAGAGATAATGATTGAGAATTTTCTAGAGCTAATAAAGTAGAATTTATAGCTATAAGAAGAACAAATTCCTAGGTAGGAAATAAAAATAAATCCAAATGTATGGATTTGGCTTTGAAATTGCTTAATATCAAAGATGGAGAGAAGTCTCTATGAAAGAAAGCAGAGAGAAGACAGATCATCTGCAAAGGAATAGTGAGAATACTTGCATTCTTGTTAATTACAGCAATACAAGTTAGAATAAGTATAGTAATACTCAAAAGTTCTGAGAGAAAATAAATAGCACCTAAAATTATGTACCCAGCAAATGACCTTTTAAAGGGAATGTAAAATAAAGTCAAGCGTGGATATATTAGAAAAAATAAATAAGGGCCCAGTCATGGTTGCTGGTAAGATGCTACTGCTCCACAGAAGTTGGGACAACCTGGGAGACCCAGGTTTGATCTCTGGCCTCCTCTGAAAGCCAGGAGGAGTGGCACCCATCCGCAAAAAAAACCTGTGCAACCTCACATTTTGCCATGTGACTTGGCAGTGCCTCTCAGTCAATAGTATGTATCATCAGCTCCATTGACTTTCGCCTTGGCCTTGAGACTTGCTTCACCAATTGACTATGATCAGATGTAACCTATGTTACCTTCCGGCAGAGGCTTTAAATGTGCTTTTGTGGCTTGATGTTTTGTATTTTCCCATCCCTAAACCAGGAAAGTCACATGGAGCTTGAGCATGACTGAGTTCAGCCAAGTCCAGAAGAGCCACAGGTGATCCACTGATTTATGAGCAAAGCATCCACATTTGTTGCAAGCCCCTGAGATTTTGACTTTATTTATTCATTTTAATTTATTTGAAAAAAATTATTTATTTCTCCCACAAGCAAAAGAGAGACAGAGATAAAGAGAAAGCAGAGGAAAGAGAAATAGACAGCATCCCCAACAGATTTTTGTTTTGTTTTAATGGTGAAAAAATGTGCATTTAGGGACCAGCAGTTAGTGTAATGGCTATGTCGCTGGACTCCCATGTAGCCGATTGCGGTTCGCGTCCCAGACCCGGTGGCTTAAAACTCACGCCGGGCGTGTGTGCATGCGTGCCCAAGATCCTGAGAGGAGAACAGAGGAGAAGGGATTGTGGTGTGGCCATCCGCCCTGAGGGGTGATTTCCCACTTTCTGTCTCTCTGTCTCTCTCTGTCTGGCGAGCACATGCGCCCTATAGCAAAAAAACAAAACAAAACAAAAAAAACTCTCAAAAAAATGTGTTTAGAATGAGCCCATGTTTAGATGATCCCAGTTTTGTTAAAAATATCCAAAGCATCAGGAGTCAGTTGCACATATGTCTTCTTCTCTCTGTCAGGCCTGATTAGGGTGTTGACATTGGCCTCATCAATATCATAGAGCTTCTTCACAGCCTGTTTGATCTGGTGCTTGTTGGCCTTGACATCCACAATGAACACAAGTGTGTTGTTTTCTGTCTTCTTTATGGCAGACTCAGTGGTTGGAAAACTTGATGATGGCAGAGTGTTCAAGCTTGTTTCTCCTATGGATGCTCTTCTGAGGATATTTGAACTGCCTTTGGAGGCACAGAGTTTTTTTTTTTGTTTGTTTGTTTGTTTTTTTTTTTTTTCACAAAAAGAGGGTCAATCATTCTTAACGAATACTTGTGTGTTTGTGAGGATGTATGTTTATCATTGTGCCTTTCTTTGGTTTCAATTTAAAAATTCCTTCCAAAAGCAATTCAACATAGAAGTATCTGGACTATACAGACTTCTTGAATTTTAAAGTAAGACTTATGCTTAAAGAGTAAAATTTACATAAACATGCTCTTTTTTTTAATGACTTTATGTATAATACTGTAGAGACACTTAAAAATAATAAACAATCCATATCTTTAAAATGTTTACAATGTAATTGGGAACAAGGTGATATTTAGCATATAATTGGAACAAATAAAAAATTCTACTGATACACAAGAAAAAAAAAAAGAAATTGAGCATATACCCTGGAGTGGAAAAAAGATGATAGATTAGGCAATATTTGATTAAAATTTGAAAGAAAGTTTGAGAATTAAGTGACCAATGAGTACAGATGAAAAGTTATCAGTAAATATTGTAGGAATTTACCTTGGTTAATATCATCTTGATTTCACATAGTTTATTCCAGATTATAACTTTGAATCAAAATCAACTGCATTTTCACCATGGTATAAACTAAATATTTCTATTAATTACTGTAGAAAGAGAAAGTCTAGCAACTATAAGTCATTCACAAGCATTTTTTAATGAAGGAATGCTCTTAGTTGTTGGTAACGGACTTATTTTTCTTTTTTTTAAATTTTTTATATTTTATTATCATCATAATCTTTATATTACATTGGATTACATATAACTTTACAGTGTATTACATTGCTTTTTCAAAAGGGAATGCCATGCATGTCAGTCTATACAGAGACATTAATCTCCCCGCTTCAACATTCAATATCTTTTCTATGTTTTCCCCAATCTGTATTATTATTATTCTAATTATTTTTTTTAAAACAGTCAATTGCTATTTCTCATTTTGCTTGTAAAAATACTTTGCCCATCATGAAATACTTCTCAGGCCAATCCAGTTGAGAATACTATACATGTCATCATCAACAGTTAATAAGCCATATCTGTTTCTCACTAATGTCCTGCCTTTCTATTGTTCACTTGCTATCTTTCTCTATCCTCTTCTCTTCACCTCCCCCATTCCACACTGTCCTATTCTCATTAAGTACCTTCACTGCTTTTATGTCCTCCAATTTTTTGCTCTCTACCATAGAGTTTTGAGCCTCTGGAAGGTGGGTGATATGTGGCTCTTCCTTTTTTTTTTTTTTTGGCTGCGGATGCCTTTTAGCACTGCCTCCTTTTCCTTTCGAAACCTTGCCTTGGGCTTCAGCTTTGGCGACGGTAGGAACTTTCTTCTTTGCTTTCAGCACCATCTTGGTGAAAATGATCTTAGATACTGCTATTGAACTCTAGTATAGCCAACCCTGAATGAAGAGCATGCATGTGCAGAGAGGTCTCTGTATATGAACCAGAACCTTCCCATGTGGGCCATCTCATAGAGCATTGTAGTGTACTTTTGCACCACTGTTTGGCCACCCTGGACTTTACTGCCACACAGGAACATCTGATTCAGACAGACAGAGCTGGAAATCCTTAGTCCAGTCCTTAGTTTTAAGGGCAAAAATAGGATTGGTCCAGAGGCATGCGCTCTGTATATTGAATAGATTGAAACACCAATTTAAATTATTTTTCAGAGACTTTCTTCCTTTAGAATATCTTCTATATTATATGGTATTCCCAAGCTTTTAAAATGATTAAGAGATCACTTCCAGAGGTGACATTCTTTCATTATTCACAAAATGATTCCTGAACATTACCTAAATTCTCTTCTCTTTTTGAAGTTCTGTGCAATATGACTGGACCACAGTATGCACTTAGTCAAAAGGTACTATTTTCTAGTGCATATGTATCATGGTTTCTAAGTGCCTTCATTTTAAAGTTTCAGGTAACATAAAGTAAATTAGAGCACTACTGGGTGACTGTGTAAATTTTCAAGTCTTGTGCACTGAGTGTACCCTGAATGAATGCACCTTATTTATTGAGTATCAACCATATATATATTGCCTGGTAAAAATTTCTGATTTAAAGTGAAAAGTCACAAATCATTTTTATCTAAATTCTTTTAAAATTCATTATGCCAGCCCTTCATTTTATAGGATCATAAAATCATAAGGCTGACAGAGCCCGTAGCGACCGTAAGCCTAGCCCAAATGCTCGCGATGGCTATTTCTCTTATCCTTTCCTTGTACCTTCCCTTTTGCTTGAGCATAGCTTCTAGTCTGTGCAATGTATCTTGATTCCATTACTTGATTCCCGCTTTATGACAGCTGCCTGAAGTATGCATAAAAATGCCAGTCCTCACTTCTCTGGGTTAAGCTAGTGGGCAATTCACTTAGGACAGGGAGCATTTGATCAAGGGCGGAGTGTGAGAGGCCCAAAGGACATCCAGACAGCAATGTTTAGCCAGCAGATGGAAATAGAAGTCAGGAAGCAGAAAAGTGGTGTGGCTCGGGAAATAAGGAGTTTCACTTATAAAAAGAGTTACCTAAAATACTTTAGAAATAAAGGAATTGAAAAACTATAGGGGGATACAATGGAAAAATGAAGGTTTAAAATCACTCAGCTATTATGTGGCAGGTAGTATTAATTAGAAGCCTTATTTAAGGGCTAGCCCTGTTGTGCAAGGTTTAAGTGCCCTATACAGGGAGCCAGATCCTACTTGGCTGATCTTGGTTCAAGCTTCTGGGTATGTGTGCATGTATGCCCAAAATCCTGATGAGAAGTGGAGGAAGGATTGTGATGTGACCACAACCTCCTGTGGGGAAGGGTGCTTTCTCTCCTTCTCTTTCCTGGTGAACGCATGTACCCTCAGGGGGTGGGGGTGGGGAACCTTACTTAAGTCACTAAAATTCTAAGGTACTCAAGGTACTAGGGCTACATACATCAAATATTAGATTACTATCTAATACACATTTATAATGTGGCTAGCACACACATACTCCTTTTGGGTAAACCCAAGTAAAAGAACTAAGAAAATAAAAATAATAATACCTTGGATTGTAAGTGAAGGGGTATAAACAATTATATGCTGAACATTAGATTCTCCAATACAATGGGATGGATTTTAGAATGTATGTTAATTTATTATTATTATTGTTAAAGCTTATGTCACATTATTTCTTCTCAAAGACAGAGGTAGAGAGAGAGAGGAAGTTCCCGCCAACAGGGTCCTCATGCCATAATCCACTCCTCGACCTAGCCGGCCAGGATCATGTTACACGTGTTCACCTTGCATGCATAGTGAGACCTTGGAATGCAAACCTGGGACCTCTCCATGGGGATCCACCATCGTGGAGCACTGTGTTACCACTGTGCCACCAACTGACCCTAATAATCATTATTTAAGGCATACGAAGCTGACAAATTAATGAGGAAAACACTAAACTCTGTGAAAGTCTTGAAAAGTTATATTTTCACGGGATACAATATAGTAGCTAATTTCATTGAAATGAATGAGGCCAGATTACTAGACACTTCCAAGCACAGGGCCAGGAAGAGGTTTAAATTCTCTGCTAAATCATAGAGCTATCTCTGAGACAGATGCATAGAACGACTTCTGCCATCCTTTACTTTAGGAGTGCCCTAGACTCCAGCGAGGACCAGAGCAACTCAAAGGAATTCGGGAAGGCAGCTGAGATAGAGGCTGAGGTATGTCTCATACAGCATACCAACTATCTAGAATCTGTACTTTTGTCCCTTTCCACGGCTGGTGCACACCCTCACTGCTGCTGCTAGCTCATTTCCCACCTGCATGCTGGTTCATGTATTGGTCTTCTAGTCAAATTTATTGAGTCACAGTTTCATTTATCTACTGTGGCTCTACTATCAATAGACTAAGGAGCAACCATTCTCTGATTGTGAAGTGGAATACAGGTCCTGTAAGAAATAGGTATAAAAACTAATAGCACAGTGCTGCTCTCAGACATCTTTTCTGACCCTGCATACCTGCTTTTATGTAATCTGGAACTTTCTTCCTTCTTCCCTTATATGACTAGCCCCTTGTTTCAGTTAGATTTAGATTCACATAGTGAGCCCCAAATAACAGCATAAAAGAAAAATGTATTGTTTTCTCATGTAAAATAATTCAGGAAAGATAATTTTCTAGGGCTGACCTGGTGGCTTCATAATGTCAACAAAGATTTATACTGCGAGAGAAAAAGGGAGATATGGTCTTTTATTCTAGGTGGCAACTTGCCCAGCTAAAAGACAAGACTGAGTTACTAACAAGGAAAGAGAGAAAAGATCTTGCATTATAAAGTCAAAATGTCTTCCTCGAGACCATTTAGTCCTAAAACATTAGAAAAAAAAATCATTTTGTGATATAGCAGAATCTTCAAAAATTTATATAAAGATTTTGCAGTTCTGGTAAAATAATTTCATAAAATGCAAACAGAATCTAAGAAAATATGAAGAAACCCATACTTAAATGTTTTGTCATTTTAACTTAAAGGTCTAAATGATAAATAATGAGATACTGAGATGTTTACTGAGTACAACTGCTAAATAAGACTGTATAAAATTCTATCTGATATAAAGAGATACTGAGATGTTTACTGAGTACAACTGCTAAATAAGACTGTATAAAATTCGATCTGATATATATATATATATATATATATATATAGAGAGAGAGAGAGAGAG